GTCTCAGGGGCATTTCACTGGCTCTGAGGTCTGAAAGTTGTTTTGAAAAATGCTTTAATCTATCAGTTTCCCCACTGCATATTTGACTTGTGACATGCATCAGATCTTATTGCATTTACTTGTATTCAGGTCTGTCCCTCTAGTCTGTAAAATCTCTTAGGGCAGTGCCTATGCTTCACCTATATGTGACTTCCTTGACACACTGGCACGAGGTGGACAATCAATATGTATTAGTTAAATGAATTAACAAAGATGCAGGAAGAAATGATTTCTTCAAGTACATGAGACAAGGAAGCTGCTCCCATCATCTATGTAGTTATCAAACTCTGATTAGTTTCTGTGAAGGTGCCTTTCTGCCTATTCCTTATTTTTTGTGAGAAATGGGATTCAGCAGGAGCCTGCTTGATTTTGACTTGAATAGACTGCGGGTCTTCACTGCCTGCAGTGTGTCTGCAGTCAGCGGCACCGTGACTCTGCGGAGTGTGCACTGATTCATTGTGCAGACAGCGCACCACGTATAGCTTGAGACCTGGACCCAGATCAGTCACTTTGGTACTCTCCAATCATCTTCAGCAAAAGTGGGGAAAAATCATAATCTCGATCCCAAAACAGTGCAGGAAAGACCAAAAGCCATGAGCTTCCTGACTGTCAGCTTCGGTGAGCAGCACCAAGCCGCCTCCTGACGGTGAGTCCAACTTGGAAGCTCAGACTCAGTCTCACATGCCAGGGCATCTGTCCGATCAGATGCACATCACAGATGCATGCAGCAAATTGTCAGAACCGGAGCACACACTGGGCAATCTGTCGAATTAGATGAGCTTAGCCCAGGCACTGTTTGGGAGAAGAGCAAGTTACAGATACAAACCCAGGAGGAGAAATCAAGCCCACGTTGCTACCAAAAAGTGAGACAATTTACGATCTATTTTCTCAAAATCAAATTAGAATAAGAATGTTTGAGAGACATAATTTGAGAATTTTTTTTCCAGACACATATATTCCACTCCTTTTTATGAATAGTCCATGAGGGTCTTCCACAAGCTAGGATGTTCATATCACTGAGCAGCTAGTTCTGAGTGCCTTGCATTGAGTTTATTTTTCAGAAGTCATTCTTTTGCTTTCTCTGCTCCCACATTTTTTCCTCATCATGACAGAAGCCTACAGTGCTTCCTCAGTGTTCTCTATCAGTAAGATGCAAGCAGACAGCCTGGCAAGCGCAAGGTCGTGAGTTCGGTTCCCGGTACCGGAGAAAAACCAAAAAAAAAAAAAAAAAAAAAAAAAGATGCAAGCAGACAGAATGGAATTCTCAAGCACTAAGACCTCCTGCCTCAAGGGACAAAAGAAATTAGTAGCTAATTAAAATCATCCAATAGCAAATAGCTACTGTTGATGTCATCTCTCCTGGCAACATAAATACTAATAGTATCATACTTAAAATGGTTAGTACATTTGAAAGATCACCTCTAAGTACTAGAGTGCAACAATTAACTCCCTTTGTCTTCAGCCAGGTTTTAACATCTTGACTAAAAATGTCCTTTTTTCCCATCAAGAGTTGACATATTTTTTAAAACAAGTTTTATTGAGATATAATTCAATAAATAACATAATTCAGTGTTTTTCATATACTTAGAGCTGTACAATTACCACTATCTTCTAATTTTAGAACATTTCATCACCCACAAAAGAGTCTCTGTCCATTAGCACTCACTTCCCATTCTGTCCCCAGCCCTTGAAACTCCTAATAAACATCTTAAACATCTTATCTCATAGGTCTGGTTTCTTTTTTTTTTTTGGTATCAGGAATCAAACTCAGGACCTTGCACTTGCCAGGCAGGTGCTTGTGCTGCTGAGCTCTATCCTCAGCCCCATCTTATCTCATAGATTGCTTTTAGTAGGCATTTCATATAAATGGAATCATGTAATAGATGATCTGTCGTGACTTTCTTTTTCCTCTTAGCTTAATATTTTTGAGGCTTATTTGTATTACATCATTTGTACTTTATTCTTTTTTTATTGCTGAATAGTATTCTGTTGCATGGATATACCACATTTGTATATTGAGTTATCCACTAATAAATACAGATGCCTATATAGTTTTTGGCTATTACAAGTAAGTTGCAATGAAACTCTGCATGAATTTTTGTGTAGGTGTATGTTTTCATTTTAATTGTGTAGATAACTATAAGAAGAATTGGCAAGTCATATGGAAAGTGTATGTTTAACATTTAGCTGCTAACTTATTTTTCAGTCGTTGCATCAGTTACATTTCTATCAGTAACGAATGATGGTTCTAATTTTTCAGTGTCCTTGTCCACATGCACTTGTTATTTTTATTATAGCCATCCAATCTTCCAATGTGTTGATTATTTAATTTCTTGATGGTATTCATTGAAGCATAAACTTTTAAAATGTTGATGAAGTAAATTTATCACTTCTTTTCTTTTATCATCTGTTGCTTTTTTTGGTTTAATGTCTGAGAAATCCTTGACCTAACTTGAGGTCATAAAGATTCACTTTTATATTTTCTTTCAAGAATTTTATCATGTTGCGTTTTATATTTGGGTCTGCAATCCATTTTGAGTTAACTTTTGTGCATGATATGAGGTCTAAATTAATTATTTTTAATGTGACTCTCTGGTGGTTCACTGTCCTTTGCTGAAAAGGCTCTTCCCTTCAAAGTCCTTTGGTACCTTTGTTGAAAATCGGTGACGATAATCAGTGAGCTCTCTTTCATTCCATTAATCTATTCATCTAGTTTTATACCAATACCATTTGTCTTCATTGCTGCAGTAAAATTTGAAATTAGAAAGTGTAAGTCCTCCAACTTAGTTCTTTGAATGATTCTTTAAAAAATAAGAGGTTGATTGTCACATAAATTGACCACATTTGAAGACATATTTAGATTTTTGAAGCTTTCAGAAGTTAGCCAGTTTTCTTTAGTGAATGTCAAAAAGTTTTACATGACAAACCGCTCGACATGTTTTCATACACATTTGTGATGGGCACAAGTCAGCCTTCACTGGTGGTTGAAACCTTGCAGTCTTATTGCAGAAGTGTGATTCGTTCAATCAACGTTTGCCTGTAATTTTCTCCCTGGCATTGCCTGAGCTACATGTTTGGAGGAGAATGATAAATGAGACACGATCTCTGCTTTCAAGATGCTCACAGTCCTGTGAGTTGAATTTCTGGAGATTTAGAGTCGAATTTCTAGAGACTGTCAACTTAAATTCCTTCACATTATGGACATGAAAAAAAAAACCTAGAGAGAGGCAGAGATTTGGGTGAAAGTGCTAGCATCCACGCAAGTAAATAACTGTCAGCACAGGCTCTTGCACATAGTAGGCCTTCAATAAATATTTGCCATGATTTGCATACTAGAGGATGTGCATTTACCCATGACCTCATAAACTCGCATGTGAAGAATGTGCTCAATCCCCTTCTGCGGATGGGATTTCACATTTAAAGCTTCTTTTGTGCTCCCTGCGAGCCCTCGGGCTATCGACGGGCTTTTGGCAGAGCTGCCCTGCTGAGCCCAGCAGCCTGTGCCCTGGAGCCTGCACCCGCCCTAGCTTTCCTCTCCCCATCCTCTTTTTTATACTAGCTGTCTTGAGACCGGTTGAACCCACACCCGGAAGTCCTGCCCGAGTCATGAGATGAGGAAGGGAAGAAACAAACTGCAGAGAGAGCAGAGTGGGAGGCGGCCGGAGGGGGAGGGGTGGAGGAAGTTTGACCTCATGTGGTTTAAATGGCTCAAACATGGTTCAGTTCATTAGTTCAAGCAATTCAGACTTTCGGGAAGCCGGGCCCTTCCCCTCAAAGTCATTTGTTTAGTCCTGTCTGGTGGACTTGGCCACTTCCCCAAACTCATGAACAAACAGTTTTCTAGGTGGAGCAGGGCCATTTCTGCCAGGTAGGCAAGCAATTCTAAGGGCCCAGCGGCCGGCGTGGGTTAAACTGTCACTGGAGTCGAGTCATCGGTTGTGAGAAATGCTTGGCACTGATGGGAGGGGTACCAAGTGTAGTTCGAGGGAGGACTGTCAGCTTCCGTGTTCTCTGGCGCTTATGGGGCAAATAAATTTGGATAGGTAGCAAGGTTAGAGGCGCACCAGGATGGAAAGTGAAAGCCAGGTCAAGGTTAAAAGCAGGAACTGGACCAGACAGCCTGGGTTAGATTTGGGGCTCTGTTACAGAGCAGATGGAGACATTGGCAGCGTACACATTTCTTTAGCTAAGTTTCCTCAGTGACTCCAAATTTTCCAAATTGCTGTCTGTCTTTCTGATCCTGCACTCTCGAAGCACAGAAACTTCTGTGCGTGTAGTTGCTGTTATTGATGTATTTCAGGATTAGAAGACTTGGGTCACATAGCAGGTGGTTATTAGACATTTGTTGGGTATGGTTAGTAACACAACCGACCTTCCTAACAATGGGGTTGTGAGGAAGAAGAAACAGCTTGGTACTGTGGTGTGCCCAGCCCTGGGCAGCCTGCCCTGAACGACATCGCAGCAGAATGAACGCTGCATCAGTACGCTAGCTGCGCGTCCAACATCTCAATTGGCGTAGGAAAATGCTGCTTTTCAAATTTGCTGGAGTAACGACCAATAATGTTTTTCTCCAGCAAAAATTAACGATAAGGCTCATTTTAGCCGGTCAATTATATAGCTCTCCTCCATGTAAAATTTTTACTCATTTAAGAAGCACATTAAAAATTATCTCCTATGTGCCAGTTGCCATCTCAGATCCTACGAGCAATGGCCGTAGTTCCTGCTGCTCCAGAACTGACCGTGGACTCTGTCCCTGGAGGCCATAGCTAAGTGGATGGCCTCATGACTTGGATGCAGGGCTCATTATAATAACTGGATTTACATCTGTGTAGCTCTTTGCTGCTGTTTGAGAGGATTTTTTCACTGATCGGTTTATATGGTCTGAACAGTTACTCGATGAGTGAAACGGTTCAAGCACACGTCAATTCCTGCGTTTCTCATGTTTCTCTGTCTCCCCCTAGTGACTCCAGCCCCAAACTGCTATCACACGTAGTACAGGTAAGATGCTCTGTATAAAGTGCTGTGCGAATGTGTGTGTGTGTGTGTGTGTGTGTGTGTGTGTGTGTGAAACAGTTGGCAATTCCTGAAAGAAAATACAGATTATACAAAGAAGCTGAGCCTTATCTGCCCCTTTGCTCCTCCCTTCCCTTCCTCCCTTCCCCTTCACATGGAACATTGTACAAACAGCAAGGACACACAGATAAAATCCTGGCCCCGCATTTCCCACAAAGGATGCCTGGCAGACACAAAGCGGATGTAAGATTCAAAGTGGAGGGGCAGCAGCTGCCCTTGCTGTTTCCAATCTTCGCCGTGTAAATGAGGTAAAACGTGTGTATTCCTGAGACTCCTGTGAAAAGAAGTCTTGTTAATTCAGTATCTCACACTGCCTTATAGCTCAGCTACACTAGTTCTTTTTTTCTCTCCTTCCCGTTTGTCTCTTTTTTCTCTCACTTGACTCTTCCCCTTCTCCCGTGGTGCTCTTTAGGTTTTATCTACTCTGCCCACCAGCACCTCAGCTGCCAGGCATGGCATGGTGCGCTGTGCAGTTCTGTTGGTTGCTCTCAAGCCTGAAGAGGGGAAGCATTATTTCCCTCTGTGCTGGAACATCCAGTTTCTAGCAATCTGCACATCGCTGAATACTTAGAGTTGGGGTAGGACAGGAGTCAGGCTTTTAAATGACCCTGCATTCCAACAAACACTAAGGAGTTTGATGCCGGCATCTCAGTCAAAACAATGCAAGGCCATGGGGCAGATGACATGTTCTACTTAGAACCCCAAGTGAAGGAATAGGGCTCGGAATGTAAGAGCTGGAGTGGAATGATTTGGACCTCCAGTATCTGTGGGGTCTAGCTCAGCATCCAGGACCTCATCACCACTCTGCTGCCTCTTGGACACGGCCACCATCCCTGATCATGAGCTCTTGGCCCTCCTCACCTTCGTGGGTCTCAGATGAGGCATTTGCTAACCATGGAAACAATGCTACTTTCCATGCCCACGGTTGGAGGGATGCCTAGGAAGGCATTATATGGATGTTTCACTTAACTGGTGGGATCTGGTTGAAGGGAGGGCATAATGGGGGTGTGACTTTAGGGACTATATCAGACAATTTTAATCTATGTACTGCTTATTCTTGCTCTTAGGTACAATGTGTTGCAATGAAGTGTGTACTTCTCGTATGGAAGTGGAAAAGCTAAAAGCCTGGATGATGACAATTGATATTTGTGTTACCCGGGCCTGGGGTATGGTGTGTACTTAATAATTTCTTGTTTTAAGAATGAATGAAAGAATGAATGTGTCTTAATTACTTTTCTTATTGTTGAGATAAAACATCAGATACCCACTGTTAGAGGAGGAAAGGTTTACTTTAGCTCACAGTTTGTAGAAGTTTCAGTCCATAGTTACCTGGCTCCAAGGCAGGGTAGCACACTAGCGGGGCATCATAGAGTAGAAATAATCATGGCAAAACAGGCAGGGGATATCAAAGCAGCAAGCAGCAGCAGCAGCAGCAGCAGCAGCAGCTGCAGCTGCAGCAGCAGGTACAGAGGCAATAGCAAGGAAGCCTCCTTTTGTATGCTATCCAGGCTATATCATTCCCAGGAGTATCACTCCCATAATTTGCTGGCATTACTGGGAAGTAATGAAAACAATAGTTGGGACCAGATTGAGTGGTGTGTGACTTTAGGAACTATAACTGTCTCTGGCCCCTTGTTCTCTGACTGTTTTATTCCTCTCCACTTCCTGGTTGCCATGATATGAACAATTTTCCTCTCCTCTGCCTTTTCTGCCATGATATTTCTGCCTCTCCACAGATCAAAAGCAATGGAGCCAGAAACCACGGACTAAACCCTCTGAAACCAGGAAACAAAATAAACCTTCTCTTCTTTAAATTGTGTATGTCAGGTATTTTGTGCTAGCAATGAAAAGCAGACGTGGTCAGAGTTTTTAATAGCAATAATAATAATAGTAATAATACAGAGTTTTATCTTTCCCTTGCTGCCTTTAATTAAAAGCAAAATCCCAAGAAAAGAAAAAGTAATAGCAGATGATAGTCTGCTCAGTTTGGAAGCTGTCATTTCCCCTCTCTGAGCACTTGGATAACATGAACAGTCTCTTAAAATATCCAAAACACTTGCACTGCTATGTTCACAGCCTGACACTTCCAGGGTAGCGATCCCCACCCCAACTCCCGCCCCACGGCCATATCCAGAATCATGGGACTGCCTGTTTAGAAAGAGTGGGATGAAAAATTGAGCCATCTTCTATTGTATTTTGGAAGACACTGGGCAAATTCTCATTTCCAAAATGCTCACCTTCACCCCCATTTTGTATAACATTTTATTATTAAACATCTATTCTTGAAATAAAAAAATATTCAAAACTCTGGAGCCCTACAGAAAAATGTGCCTGTAGTTTGGTACAATTAATATTTTGGTTAGTTATTATCATATGTGATTCAAAGTACTGCCGGAAAGAGTGCAGGTAGCTCCCTCGGTAGAGCAAGGAGAACAGTTCAGCAAAGTTGAAGCAAGAGTGGGCCCAGGACAGAGTTGCCTAATGCACAGATTTGCCCAAAGGAAAACTACTGGCCAGAAAAAAGGCAATTCATCTTGTGATTCAGCTATTGATTGAAAAATGATATCATATGAAAACATACCAATATGAAAATTGAAGAGGGTTTTTAAAAAGTCGAATCATTTATGTTTGGGTTAGTACTCTAGTTGTAGTTCTCAGACAGTCTCAGTCCCTCTGCCTCTCGCTCTCCTTTCCCTTTCTCTCCCTCTCCTTCCCTAAAGGATTTTC